CAGATCAAGCCTGAAATCTCCCTGGAAGCCAAGATAAAGCCAACTGAAGCTGTCGTACTTTGGCCACATCATGAGAAGGCATGAAGCATTGGAAAAGACAATAATGCTAGGAAAGGTTGAAGGCAGCAAAAAGAGAGGAAGACCGTATGCCAAATGGATAGACTCTACCAAGAAGGTCATGGGTGTGAATTTACAGAGCAGTAGGTGGTCTTGGGGATGTCTCATCCACAGGGTTGGAATGAGTTGGGGTCAACTCAAAAGGAGTTAACAACAACAGATGTCCTATGCTACAGTGTGGGATCTACTTATCAAGACTTTCAACATTAGAAGATATGCACACCTCTTAATAATTCAAACAACACCCACCTAAGAAGTAAGGGTCACAATCAAACAAAGACCTTGGCATGCATAGATCCTATACATTTCAGTTGAACTCTCTTGGACAGCAGCTGTTGTTATGGCTTTTGTTGTGCCTTGTGAACATAGAGCTTGTACCTTTCCGTTTTCTCATAAACTTTCTCCTCACGGCAAAGTCAACAAGAACATTTTTGCATGCGAGCAAAGTCTAATCAGGTACAATGCCCCATCTTAGGGAGGCATCTGATGTGTGAGAACTGGCATATCCAATGCAAACAGTAGGATACTTTAACAGCCACAAAGGGATCTCATAAATTCAAACATGTCCTTGTGATGAAAGGATCCTATTTTAATTATGTTTGAGGATATGAAACATTCTACTCAGGCTTGGCATCAAAATTTGGCATCCTTAAACCTCAGTGGATCTGTTGCTGGCACCTTCCCAGAGTGTGAGAAATGTAACTTTTTGGATTACAGTTCCCAGACTCCTACAGCCAACATGGGCAATTTTTCCAGGCTCTGCACTTCAGCTAATCTTCCCAAAAAGTATCTGAATCAAGGAGCTGTCATTAAAATTTCCTGCAATGTTTCAGTGCATTGTTGGAGGTTGTTATGCACTCATTGACCTTAGCTCAGAAAAATCAGTGTGAAAACAGAAAACTTTATTTGGAAAACTCAAGTAGTTCACAAACTGGTGCTGTTGTCAGGACTCAAGCAATTTCAGTTACACAGTATATTAAAAGCTTAGAACAATTCAAATCTTTCTGCATACTCAAACCCCATTCACAGACTCAAATCACTACACCATTTGACTTCTCCAAAAAGTAGCAGAAAAGCTTTCCTTTTGTTTCAAGCAAAGTGGGGAAGGGTTCTATAATCAGAGTTTAGCAGGGTTCTTTTAAAAGTAATAATTACAAACTATTACTTTTAAATAATTAGTCAAACTCTCCATATTAAGTTCATTGACGTTATTATTGCAGGTCTTCCTAAACAGTAGTTATTTACTTGCTGCCACTTTCTCATTATTCATAAATAAATAAAAAAAGATTTGTTGTCCGTTGCTTTTGAAGAAATAATATACTAAGCAAGCTGCAGGCCTAAGAGGTGAGTCACATCTACGTAATCAGGTTTTACAGGCCTGTAACTATAAAAGTAACTAAAATAGTTACTGTTACACCACCAAATGAGTGATCTTAGGCCTTCTGACATTACAGTTTAAATGTAAGTAGCAGCTCTTCCACACTGCAGAAATAACGAAGTTTTACACCATTTTAACTGTCATGGCTCCATCCTGTGGAATCCTGGGATTGCATGATTGGTCTGTCAGAGAGCTCTGGTGCATCACCAAACTACAAATCCCAGGATTCTGTAGAATAGAGACTAAGGGTGTATCCATACTGCAGAATTTAGTTAGGCACTGGTTTAGCTGCCATGGCTCAATGCTCTGGAATTCTGGGAATTGTAGTTTGTTGTGGCCCCAGAGCTCTCTGACAGAGAAGGCTGAATGTCTCACAGAACTATAGTTCCCAGTATAACATAGCATTGAACCATGGCAGTTAAACCAATGTAAAACTGAATCATTTCTGCAGTGCAGATGCAGCCTGAGTAAGGTTTAATAATTGGTAATCCATTTTTTTTTTGTACTTGTTTGTTAACCAGGTCCTTTTCTGCAAATACCTAGGAAAGTAAAGATGGAGGTACATCCAAGCTCATAACAAAAACAATGGCATGGTCTGCTCCTCTAAACCTCCTTTGGCCTAACAGAGCTCCATGTTTCTCCATGTTTCTCTTTAACACAGAACTGAATGTCTCTTGGACCAACTTGACCTGGAGCCAGGCAGTGAGAATCTTGCAGAGTCACCCTTTTAAAAACTTCAAATACCTTAAACTCTGATCTCCTTAAATAAATATAATTTTCTTTTTTATTGCTGGAATCTTTGCCTGGGGTATATTCATGCTCAACTCTATTTTTGTTATTGCTGCACTCGTACTATGGAGGAGTTTGGATTGTCCTTGACTGAAAAAAACAGCAGGCTCTGTTATAAGGCTTTTAGATTCTCCATAAACACTGGACTTGCTGGTCTCTCAAAAACTATCACAAAAAATAATAATCGTTTTTTCGTTTGTTTGTGCCCTTAAAAAGAAGAAGACATTTTTCAAATACTTGTACCATACAGCAAATCCCTAAGGCATCACAAATATATCTGTCTGTTTGCCAAGGGTACTATGCAGAAGATGGGCCAAGCTTGTTTTCTTCTCCAGAGACCAGGGTCTATTCTGCACTGCAGAAATAATGCAATTTGATACCGCTTTAACTGCCATGGTTCAATGCTATGGAGATCTGGGATTTGTAGTTTTGCAAGATATTTAGCCTTCCCTACTGGAGAGCTCTGATGCCTTACATGATACAGATCCCAGCATTCTGCAAGATAGCAGTTAAAGTGGTGTCAAACTGCATTATTTCAACAGTGTAGATGCACTCCAAGCAAGAATTGCTCGACCCGTGGGCCTCATGTGGTCCTTTGCGGTTATGTTGGGCATTTGGGACTCCAGACATCTATCTATTCAGAGGATGCAAATGGACACCACCTTAGATCCATGCCAAAAAAAAGTGATCCCCAAAATTAGGTTTTGTCCCCAAATATTGTGGACAGATGGGATTCTTCCAAGGTGCATCAGACCACCCCACCTGAAAACTTTTTTTAATTTTTAATTTTAATTTTTAAAGACAAGCTAAAGTGACAAGACATTGTTTCTGCACCCACAATGGGTGAAAAAATGGCACCCACAATGAGTCTTTTGCATCCTTCCAGAGCTGGAGGAATAAAAAACAATGGCAAAATCCACTTTGAGGATCCAAAGCCTGTCCAACCCTGCTTGAAGCTATTTCCCCAAATCGAGAGAGAATTCAGCGAAGAGTGGGATTCAAAAGCAAGAAAATTTACAAGAGTGGACTAGTGAACAAGGCATCTGATTTCTGCAATTCTAACACCCTGGAATTTGTGGAACAGGGTATAAAAGAGCTTATATTTTACAACAGTAATGACTTTAAAAACTATTTACATTTCAAGTTGCCCTAGCAAAGCACACTTTACAAACAAATGATCTCACATATCCATAAAAGAGGTAGCTGCGAGTTTCATTAACCATCATTAAAAAGAAAAAGGAAAAGAAAAAAGACTGGAATCACGCCCCCGAAAATATAGGCATTTTAACTTCACGAATTGCAAAAGAAAATGACAGCTTAAATGTCTTTTTTTCAATAGTTGTTGTTTCTGTCTTTTTTCCCCCCCTCCGAGGCCACATTGCTGGAAAACCAAACTGGTCTGTGGCTTCCCAACTGGGGACTCTGTTCTAGAAGAAGAAATTCATCCAGATATTTTAAATAAACCTTCTCCGGCCATTCACAAGCAAGAAGGAAAAATAACAAACTTCTGAGACTTGGGAGATTAAGTCCTTTTGCGTCAGGCAAAAGGCAGCCTCCAAAAAGGGAACTTTGGCAGCGTGTTGTGCAATGGCTTGGCCCAGATTTATGAAATAGTTCACAGAAGATCAATTTGACCTGGAATTGGTGCTTAGCTTTTTCTAGAAAGGGCCACCCTTGAAGTATATGAACGCAGAAAGCTGCTTTACGCTCAACCACGCAAGTGGATTATCTAACCCAGTATTGGCTACTCTTGTGACAGACAGCGTGGTGTAGTGGTTTGAGGGTTGGGCTACGATGCTGGAGACTGAGTTTGAATCCTCCTCTCAGGCATGGAAACCCTTGAGCAAGTCACGCTCTCTCAGCCTCAGAGGAAGCAAAAGGCAAACCCTCTCTGAATAAAACTCGCCAAAGAAACCCTGCAATAGGGTCACTGAAGCGTTCCTGTAAGTCAGAAACAATTTGAAGGTACACAACAACAACAATTGTCTACTTTTAATTGACATATTGGCATACACCCTTATACCTATAAATTCCCACCCACCCTCCATCTGACCTATTGACAGATTTAAATCCTTTTATTCCCAGCTAGATTAGACTCACTGACTCAATGGGATTTACCTATGTACTGAGCCACCAGTCAACAACTGAATTAATATAACTAGCCTATTTGGGACTAGAGAGATGGATGGATGGATGGATGGATGATAGATAGATAGATAGATAGATAGATAGATAGATAGATAGATAGATAGATAGATAGATAGATAGATAGACAGACAGACAGACAGACGGATGGACGGACAGACAGATGGACAGACAGACAGATATTATGGTCACAGATCAGCATAAGAACAACAAAGTCCAAACAGAGTAGTGCTTTGTGTGTGTGTGTGTGTGTGTGTGTGTGTGTGTGTGTGTGTGTGTGTATATATATATATATATATATATATATATATATATATATATATATATAGTATATACCGTAGTATATAGTATATATAGTAGTATGTGCTATATATTCTGGCCTCCCTAAAACTGCCAGGCTGTCTTGTTAGTTATTGTTTTTGTTGTGTGCCTTCAAGGAGCTTCCAGTTTCCAGCTAAGATGACCCTATCATGAGGTTTTCTTGGCAAGATTTGTTTAGAGGGGGTTTGTCGTTGCCTTCCCCTGAGGCTGAGAGCATGGGACGTGCCCAAGGTCACTGAGTGGCTTTCAGGGCCAAGCAAGGAATTGAACCCGGAGCTCCAGAGTAGTAGTCCAACACTCAAGCCACTATGCCATGCTGGCTCTCTTAGATGTACAGTGGAGCAAAATTTTTTGCAGCTGCTGTTGCAAACCGTAAAAAATTCTTAAAGCAGATGTAATGATCATCTTAATGACCTGTTATGATTATTGTGTTCTATTTATGTTTACCGTATGGAGTTTTGTTATAATAATCTTGATTTGGCTAGTTACACTGAGGAAAAAAGATGTTTCAGGGGGATACGGCCGTAGTGTACTTGTCAAATTATAAACTATAAACAGACACAAACAGGAGACTATATCCAGTTATGATTGGTTAATTTGCCAATGTATTAGGAAGTTTGATTGTACCAAACCTCCTTAATTATTGACAAGAAATAATTGCCGCTGTATAGATAAATGATAAATGTATAATGCTCACTGCTTAAGGCTTTGGGTAATATAGTTGAAGTGAATTAATATTCTATTGTCTAATCTGCAAATCCATTCCCTAGTTCTAAGGGATTCAATTTTATCTGTTTTATCGTGTGTTTTTTATTATTGTGTTTTTTATATGTGTTTTCATACTGTGTTTTTATACTGGCCGAACGGCTGTAATAAAATGATTGAATTTCCTGTACAGTGGAGATAATGGTCTAGTGGAGCCTGGATTTGCAGAATCAAAGTGCCAGGACATTTTGATTAGCAGAAGCTCATCTATCATCTAATGCCTATTATTATTATTATTATTATTATTATTATTATTATTATTATTATTATTATTGGCTCTGGTGCCACAACCAATTACAATCCCCAGAATTCCATAGCGTGGAGCCACAGTAGCTCATGTGATATTCAAAGTGGATTATTTCTGCAGTGCGGATGCAGCCAGTGTGAGCCCTGGGACTTCAAAGTGTACCATTGCACCACTAGGCGGACAACATGATCACCAGAGGTGAAGTGTAATGTAATGCCTTTGCCATCCTCTCACCATTTTGTGCATGGACTGGAGAGGGGGACCCATCTTGCCTTCTGGCAGCCAAACGTCACCATCAGACTCCAGCTTGGCTTTCAGAGAGCTCCGCTCAGCAAGAAAGAGAAATCTTTTTTCAAGGAGGAAATCAGTTAGAAACCAAGGGCCCCTGAAAGTCAAAACCTAGTCCACCCACGGCGACTGCTCAGAGTGGCACAAGACGGAGCGAGGCTGTGCATTTCCGATTGCGTTCCAGAAACCCTCTGTTTCATCTAACCCAGTAACACACAAGGGCGCATCTGATCGACTGATAATGAGTCCAGATGTAGAACAGCATTCAGGTGGCTGTAACCATGAGTAACATCTAACAAGAGCAGAAAATATGTAGGTCAGGAAGGCAAGCGTGTGCACACCGAACAGAGTGACCTACATCATTTGTCACTTCTTTATTTTGGCAGCGAGAGAAGGTAGCCATCTAGCTGTGGCAAACACAATCACGCTGTCACAGTATTTATCTTTAGGAAGTGCTGGCACCTCTAAGGACGTTACCACATGGGGCAAATCTGCTGGTTAATCCACACAAATCC